TATTTCAATCATTTTCTCACCAAATCTGATCCTAATTTCTACCTACTACTTTCTTCCATGCTAAGAAATCCAAATGCTGAAAATTTATTTTTACTATTCACTTTTTACTATTTACTATTTACTTTTTACTATTTACTATTTACTTTTTACTATTCAATTTAAAAAAATTTACTAAATAAGTTACCAAAAATTTGAACCTCTCCTTCTAAAATTACTATAATTTTATATCCAAAATTTACATTTTTCTATCCATTAAAATTATTATTACTAATAAAATACTAAAATTTACTACTATAAATATATATATATATATATATATATAGATTTTTTTTTTTTTGGGTCTTACAAGTACTTTGGAGAGTCATTGTCAAAGTAAGTTCCTACACTAACCTCCTACTTTTCTCACCACATACTTCACCTTCTTTTACATGATATTAGATGATTATTAGAGCGACATAATAACTCTCAATATAAAAATTATATATCTATAATACACTAGCTACTTGAATCACCAAAAAACTTCTGCTAAAAATTTCTTCCATAATATTTACCATACATACTTTCTACCGTGTTATCAACATTATCATAAACAAAACAGTTATATTATTATCATTTTACTAGTATAATGTAATAAAATAAAAATATTGAAATAATAATTAAAATAAAGTATTTTAATTTAATGTTTCATTATTTTCTATTACAGAAATTGATAATTAAAATGAAAAATAAAATAAAATAGTTAATGTAATATTTTATTGATATTTATATTATATATTATAATTAAAAGTCAACAAAATAATAAAGATAATAAAATCAATAAAATAATAATATTTTCACTTTACTTCATCTTATCTTTTACTAATTTATTAACTATAAAAGTGAGAAGTTAAAATTCTTTTTAAGAAAAAACACAAATTCTAAGGTAAAGAAAGCAAAAAGAGATAGAAACATAATGCGTTTTGTTTGAACATCTAGATCACCTTCAAAGAAAACGGAAAAAGAAATCATTTATATCATAAAACAATGTTAAAAAAATCATTTATTAATTTTTTAGAAAGTAATAAATTCATTTAATTTTTTCTTTATATGTTTAATTAAGCCATTAACGTAAACATAAGTGACAACAATATAAATGTAAGATATCGGAGAGTGTTGCATCAATCGAAATCGAAATAAAAACAAGAGTGAAAGAAAAAGAGAGTGAAAATGAAGAGAGCGTCAACATCAGTTTTTGGTTTGGGAATTTTGTTACTTCTCACAGTTGCAGCCATGAAACCAGTGAATGGATTCAGTTGTTTGGTAGCAAAAGTTTCATTGTTGCAATGCTTTTCTTTTCTCAACAGCATTGCAGATATCCCTTCAACTTCTTGTTGTAATGCAGTGAGTAATGTGAGAGCTTCAGCACCTACAAAACCTGAACTTCGTGAGGCATGTCTATGTCTCACGGCAGCTGTCGCTCAATTTTCTAAACTTGAGAAAGATAGAGCCATTCAACTTCCTAAACTATGTAAGGTTGATGTCGGTTTTCCCCTCACCAAAGACATCGACTGTAACAAGTAAGATTTCTTTTTTATTTATATTATTTATCTTAATTTATACATACTCATAGTTCTTATTATTCTTTTATTTTTGTTCACATTTTATTTTTCAGGATCTCTCTTTGAACAAGAGTTTAAAGGATGAAATGGGACATTGAAAATGCTGGATTATGCTTTCAACTTCCTTTTCCTTAAAAAACAAATAAGATTGTTTTCTCAATTTTTATTGAAAGTAAATGATTATTGAATAGATATATCTGTTGTTGGTATCCATTTCTTCGTGACTCTCTTGGCTTTTAATTATGATGTAAATGTTTGATATTCGTCAGCTTAAACAGAATAATCAAAATTAAACTATTGAAATATACTCTTCAAAATAACTTATGATTATTAAGAATTTTAATTATTTATTATTATATAAAAAATTATTAAAATAAGCAAAAATACAAAACAAATACAAAAATATGAAAGATCATATCAAGTCACGATAAAAATTATATTTTATGAAACTTAAAATATTTATTTTTCTCAAGAAAAATAAATTAGTAGATATACAATCCAAACAATTTTTAATAATAAAAAATGAGTATACCAGAAAAATAAGAATACGTTCAAAACTTAACTTGAATATATGCAATTCTACTTTTTATTTTTTTAACTGTTATGTTACATAGACCACTGAAAACTAAATGCAACGTATATATGTGGACCACATTCCAATGAAGAAGAAAACTAAGAAGTCATTAATATTTGTATCGTATGTAGAATAGGAATTAACAATCATAATAGTTCGGTCTACTCCTTGTGTTAAAAGGTGAAGTGGATTAAATGTTGGTTCATGCGGTCAAACAAATTAAATGTTGAATTGATCCTTAAGTCATTAATATTGGATCAATAATTAAGTAGTTGATGTTGGATCATGACGAGATGACCGTCCAAGATATTATTATTAAACCAATGGTTTGAACAAATAAAACAGTTAAAAAATTAATAACAAACGATTATATATATTGATTAAAGATATTTGTACCATAATTATATTGATTAAAAAATGGTTAATGTAATATTTTATTGATATTTATATTTTATATTATAATTAAAAGTCAATAAAATAATAAATATAATAAAATCCTATACTTTAAATTAGTATAATTTGTAAATTAATTATTTTTAATAGTTTTTCATTTTGAAATTAACCTTTTTATTTATTAAAAAAATTATGATGTAAGTCAATAAAATCATTTACAAACTTTTAGAATTTCTTTTATCTTTTCCTTAATCCAAATAATCATATTTTTTTCTTCAAATCCAATCGTTTTCACTCTCTTAAATTTATCCTATGTAACATCGCAAAAATACAGTCCAAAACTATATAATAGAATAATCACATTAATTAATAATTCATATCAGTCTTTACACTAAAAGTCGAACGTACGTTTATGACCGAACGACCTTACAAAAGAGTGATCATAAACTATATAAGATAAGCAAACCTGACCGAACGGTTTACAAAATCAAATACCGAACAATCATACATAAAAAAGGGAAGGTGATCGAATGACCACCTTACAATAGACTACACTAATGACCGAACGTCCTACTCTTCGGCCTTCACTTCTACCTCGACCAAATTCTCTTCTTCTAGTGCATCTTCCAACAGCTCGTCTCCTTCTGTTCACATCCACACGGATGATCATTGCAATGACAAGACGAACGTACAAAACAAGACAAGACAGGAACACAAGGTAAGCTTATGTAATTTAATTCATGTATAAACATACATTTTCACAAAATCATACACATAAGATATAATTCATCATACGTTTCATATAAATCATAATACTAGACTGACTGTCCGGACTGTATGAAATCTGTGTAGCTACATGTGTTCGTGCACCCGGGTGATGTAGTAACTGGGATGCCCTCAATAACTGCCACCCGAGGTTAGTCCTATCTATCCAAAGTACCCCTAAGGACTAGGACCTCCTGCCGTTCCCACACATGACCTACCCTCCTCTACGTGAGGACGAGTACTCACGGAACATCAGGATGAACCGCTAGCTTAGCATACCCACATTCATACTTTACAAATTCAATAAGCAATCATGAGTCGTTCCTCCCCGGAACGCTCGTTCATAATCCAACACATTTCATCCATATCATATTTTCTTCATCTTTCATTATCAATCTTCTCAATTTCATCTTTCATTATCAATCATCTCAAATTTATCTTTCATTTCCAATCATTTCAATTTCATCTTTGTTCAAAGATTATTAAGGACACCAGATACCGAACGTTCAATCCTCCCTCAGAACGAGGACGAACACTTGGAACGAGACGGAGAGGTCTTCAGTTCTATAATAGAATAAGACCAAGGGGATTACAATCGGTTTGAGAAAGAAACCGAGTATAATCATATATAACAGGAACGACTAGAACGAACATTACTTAAAAAGTGAGCTAATTAAATGAACTGACCCTTGAGAGTTCCAACCGAACACCGAAAGAACCATGCCAAGTACTAAGGCTCTAAGCCGAAACCAATGGATGTAGACACTTCAAGACATTCAGAGAATAATACTTAGAAGGATTCACATTAAGAAACCAAACGCTTATGAATACTTAGTTTATTTGAATTTACATCAAGATATCCGAATGTCAGTCAATGACCGAACACGGTAGAAAGAAAATCCTATTGAAGTTGGACGAACGTTATTTTCATCAAGATAGATCATACAAGAAACGAGTACGAGCGCTTGGTATAAGACCGAACACTACTCATTACGAGCGCTTGGTGTGAGACCAAGCACTACTAAACTTATAAATAGAAAGCTTAATAAATATAATAAGATACTATTGGAATAGTGTTTAAGAATAACTAAAATATACAAATACATATATTTACAAATTTAAGTTTATCACAGAATACTCAGATACAACTACGCTTGGCCGAACGCTCAAGCATAGTATTACCACACGAAGACGCTCGTCCTCAACTAGGATTCTTCCAAACGAAAGAATCCAATTTTATCCAAGGTTACTAGTACGACCGAACGGTCAATGACGAACATACATTATCATAGGGAAATTTCATATCCAGAATTCATTTATATTCAAACTCATTTCTCAACATATAACTTCATAATTTCATACATTCATATCATAGTACATTTCATATTCCTCATACATCAGAACATAATAACCATCATATTTCATATAGTCAAATATCTCAACAATCATGCTTCACTTTAGTTTAACAACACAACGAACCTTCATGCAGCACAATAAACATACAAATTAAATTAAATAAGCTTCCCTTACCTCTGAGCGTGAACGAATGTCCTAGAGACAGAAGTACGGTTCGTTTGACTACAAATCTTTCTACCCTTACGTTCCACAATTCTTCACACTAAACCAAATAGCAGAAAACCAACAATGGCTCAGACAAGACGACATCATGCAACCAGAACTTGGTTTTGCATGTACTAGAGAACGAACGGCTAAGGATAAGAAGAACTTACCAGTTCAGAACTCGAAACTGTTCGGTTCAAACTAAAGCTCTGGACGCCGGAAGTACTTCTACGGTGCCTAAACGGTGATCAGAGAAAAGAAAAGATGAGATTTGGTAGAGAGAAGGGAGAGCTTTTAGTGAGAAGGAGGAGAATTTGAGAATATCAGAGTTTGGAGAAGAAGATGCATGCAGAGAGTGTGACGTAAACTTTTAAAAACTCAGTTTTGTTTAAAACGAACGTCCACTCATCTACTGACACCTGCATTCCACTATCTGATTTTCAGATGTTCGTCGCTTGACACATGACGTCCGTTCAGAGGGATTTTAGGTGCGTTTTTAATGGTTCTGACATTCTACAATCCAAACACAAGCTAAATGGAACACTCGTTATTTTAATTTTTCTCATCTCTTATAGAAGATTAAATTAGAAAGCTGTCGTAGTAAAAAAATTTAATATTTATATTAACAAATGATTAATATTTTTATTTTTAATTATTTTTTGAAATTTATGTTTTTTCTTTGTTAATATTTTCACTTTACTTCGTCTTATATCTTTTTTATAATTTATTAACTATAAAAGCGAGAAGTTAATTTTCTTTTAAGGAAAAACACAAATTCTAACGTCAAGAAAGCAAAAAGAAAACGAAAAAAAAAATCATTAAATATTCGCAACAAGAACATTACATATAAAAAACCGTTAGAAAAAAAAATAAAAAAAGATGAACAAAATGTAACTCATACTTCATCATATTATTCTGCGGAACATTCTCCAAGAAATAGGAAAAGAACAAAAAGTCATCAATAGTCATAAATAACGGTAACCTGATGTACGTGGCTATAAAAGCAACATCTTCCTCAGTGTTCCATTCATCCAAAATCAAAGCACAAGATTGAATCACTCAGATAAACCTCTCTGTCAAAATGAAGACTGTCTTTGTATCATTCTTCACTCTGTTAATTGTGTTAGTCTTCACAGTTACTGCCACAAAGCCATCAAAAGGCTTAACCTGTGAGCAGGAATTAGCCTTAGCGAGGCCATGCTTAGAATATCTAACAAAGAAAACTGAGGCCCCTTCAACTTCTTGCTGCGATGGGATGAAAAAGATCATATCTTCATCACCTACAAAGGAAGAAAAACAAGCTGCATGTACGTGCCTAAGGGAAGCAGGCAATCGTATTCCTAACCTGGACAAACTCAGACTCAATAGTCTTTGCAAAGATTGCAAAATCAAGCTCCATAATCTCATGTCCAATGACTTGAATTGCATCATGTAAGAATTTTTTTTACGTAGTCGATGTTATTAGCTTTCACTCGTTTGCTTTCCTCACATTGTTTTTCCTTTCTTTTCTTTTTTTTCAGACTTGATTAAGCTAGGAACGGTGCATTATGCTGGGAGTTTTCTATTTCTGTCACAAAATAACATTGTTTGTTGAACTTCTCTCAACAAACATTTATGTTGAAATTAATGATCAATGAATATGCTTTTTATATATTGTTGGTGTCTTCTGTTAATTTCTTTCCATCTAATTATGATGAACCATTTGTGTTTAATGTTTAAAATCTTGAGTCTAATCCAAAATAAATCCAATAGAAATAAGCTATCATTTTATACA